GGGGGGGGGGGGGGGGTTGGACCCCTGTTACTCCCTCAACATACGTCAACGTGAAGGCACTTCAAAAACGATTCAGAATTAAATTCTAATTATGCTTGAAGAGTTTCACGAGTAGATATCAAACATATCTTAAATTAATGTGTAATTTAACTCATTTGACTCAGTAAAATTGACATGACAAAATATATTTTATACCAATCCTACACAATTTAGAAAGTTATAGATCAGGTCATGCCAGGATACAAAATGATCACGTGACCTCTCATTTTTTGTGTTACCACTGGGTATTATCTTAATTTGGAAAGTGTAATTTCTTACCTGAGTAGGATCTTCTTCCTCGTCATCATCGACCGAAGGTGGGCCAAGTTCTGGCCCTAGGCCCATGACCTGAGGCATCGCCAACAGTCCTGGTAAAAAAAGAATAATGGATAAACAAGCATATACGGTTTCATTCAGGAGCATAAGGAGTCATATAAGGAGTCATTTCAGATGTAAAAAACACACTAGTGTCCCTCATTATACGAATTAGCAGTAAATAATTGCTTTGCCATTTTGGCCTCAGAAGCATATATTTCCTTACATATCGTTTTTTGTAACTTTTCGATTTGATGGAAGTCTGTATATCACCACGTTTCTATGTCTTGAAGCGCTGTTATAGACTCGGGAAGTCAATAATGTTATTTGTGAATAGCGAGTGAATTGCAATTCTGACGGCCGGCTGGCGGTCTAAGGTTCTGATGGTTGCAGAATCAATTGCGAATGTCGTAATATGTACCCCGATTCAGTCAATTTACTTTTTTTGCTGTTTTTATTTTTTTGAATCGAAAAAGGAGATTTATTCTTCAGCAATACTTGGACATATCCACAGATCTTCTACTCTGTTGTAAGCACAATCTTCTGGACGTTATAGAAAACATATCGTCAAGAAACTATTATGCAGCAACGAAACATTTCTTAGCAAAATGACTTTAGAAATATTTGTTTATATAATTGAGAGAAAGACGATGATAATTTTGTCAATCTGAAATGACTCACCAGAGTGAATATAAAATGTTTTAAAATATTTCACAATGACTTCTTTTGCCAATAATGCTAATTTTCAAGTTTCAAGACTACTTTTCCCAATAATGCTAATTTTCAACTCGCTTTCCCACTTTGAAATGAACAAGATGTTTATTGTGATACAGAAAAGAAACATAATAAATTAACTTAGAGTTGATTTCGATTGGTAGAGTTAGTACTTTTCATCATTACATTGAAAATTCTGAGAACGTGTATGAAATCATTTTAGGCAGAAGTATTTCAACAATTACAGTTATCACTGTCACCTTCTGCCTCATTTATCAAATTAGTAAGGTATCAAACATCCTATTTCTTCATCATTCTTTCTTGCTAGCTGGATTAATTCTCAAACACTTCAAGAAAGTACAATTTAATGGAGAAAATAACATCACATTTCAATTTTATTTTTAGGTTTTTATGTTATTGACTTTATATATATATATATATATATATATATA